AATTGCATGTAAGAATTTTGAAAAACCAACAACTTGTTCATAGCAAATACTTTTTCAATAACCCAAGAGGCAACTATCCACATGGACTTCCCCAGATGGAATACACAGAAATCAAATTGACTACATCTGTGGAAAGACATGATGGAGAAGCTCAATATCAGCAGCTAAAACCAGACCAGAGGCTGACTGTGGAACGGACCATCAATTGCTCATATGTAAGTTCAGGATCAAGCTGAAGAAAATTGAAACAGTTCTGCAGGAGCCGAGATTATGACCTTGAATCTATCCCACCTGAATTTTGGGAAGCTCTCACGAACAGATTTGACACATTGCACATGAATGGCAGAAGACCCGATGAGCTGTGGGAGGCCATCAAGAAACGTCATTCTTGAGGAAAGCAAAAGGTCACTAAAAAGGCAGAAAAATAAAACAAACCAAAAAGCAAAGTGGGTGTCAGAAGAGATTCTGAAACTTGCTCTTAATTGGAGAATCGCTAAAGCAAATGGCATAGAAACTGAATAGAAAATTTCAAAGGGCAGCTTGAGAAGACAAAGCTAAATATTATCATGGAATGTGCAAGGGCCTAGAATTAGAAAGCCCAAAGGTTCAGCGTGTCTGAAACAGAGAAGTCAAGAAAAAAAATCCAAGCTTTGAGTTACAATCTTGAAAGATCCTGTAGGCAAAATATGGAATCATGCGGGAAGCATCAAGAGAAAATGCAGATCATTGAACAAAAAAGATCTAGTAAACATTCCACCATTTCAGGAGGAAGTATATGATGCTAAAGGAGACAGTGCAAACTACACTGAATAATGCATTAGTCAAAACCAAGGCTCCAAGAATGGATGGAATACCCACTGAAATGCTTCAGCCAGCGGAAACAGCACTGGCACCCTTGTCTATGCTAGGAAATTTGGAAGATCACCGTTCTTTGGAATGGGCACAAATACAGTCAACTGTCTAGAAGAGACCCATATTTTTGCCCGTTCTGAACAAAGGTGGCCCAATACAATGCTCAAGCTGTAGAAAGATTGATGTTGCACGCAAGTGACATTTTGCTGAAGATCATCCAACAGTGGTTGCAGCAGTACATTGGCATTCATTGCATCACATGAAGGTGAAAGTTGGACATTGAATAAGGAAGACCATAGGAGAATGGATGCATTTGAACTGTGCTGGAGAAGAATATTGAAAGTACCACGGACTGCTAACAGGACAAACCGCGCTGGACTGGAAGTCCTGAAGCCAGAGGGCTCCTGACAGACAAGGCTGGCAAGTGTTGCATCGTTTGAACGTGTTGTCAGGAGAGACAAGTCTCTGGAGAAGCACATCATGCTTGATGAGTGGAAGGGCAGCTGCAGAGGGGAAGGCCCTCAACAAGGTGGGTTGACACAGTGGCTGCAGGGGAATAACTGTGAAGCTGGCACAGGACCCATCACGGTTTCATGCTGTTGCCCGTAGGGTCGCTATGGGTTGGAGCTGACTCGACGGAACCTAACAACACAACGAGAATATGGATTTTCACCGAAACCCAGAGCTCTTTTTGTTTGTTTGTTTTGTTTTATATTTTATTTATTTTTAATCATTTTATTAGGGGCTCATACAACTCTTATCACAATCCATACACACATCAATTGTGTAAAGC